TACAAGGGTCTTGTAACTTGATAGCTTTAAGACTTGTGTGCTTCAAATGCCAGAGTTTCTGAGCCAATATTTTGGTTGCTAATAGGCAAGAGTGTTATTAAGTGAGTTTCACTACATATTACAAGTTGCCCACGCTCACCCAGTCACATGACTGCCAAGCCATTCCCACATGGTCACATGGCTGGAAAGCCACTCCCACCCGGTCACATGGCCGGCAAGCCACTCACAAAGCAGGCCACACCTACAGAAGAGGTTCTAAAAAATTTTGAAACCCACCACTGAGTGAGTCCGCTGTGATATGAAAACCAAGAGAAAGCTGGGAGGTAGGACCAAAGAAATTAAGGAGAAAACAAAAAACAAGAGTGTGTGTTTGTGTGTGTGTGATACAGAGATAGAGTGAGAGTGAGAGTGAGAGAGACACCAAGCACAGGTAGATAAGGAGGAAAGAAAATTTATCATTGTTTGTCTTTATTCGGACAGTGCCAGATTTTCCCCAAATATTCTCTCATTTCATAAGCCTGGAAGAATGAAGAGAAAATATTGAAGAATTAGAAATGTTCAACCAACATTTGAACACTTCTTACTTTCTATCCAATAATAATAAATTTTCTATTTCTATTTCTATTTTCTATTATTTAATAATAAATTTCTATTTCTATTTCTACTTTTTTGCAGGAGTTGGTTCCTGACAGCATTACCACCAGTTTGGCAGCTGAAAAATTTTGTTGTTCTGTGCATGTGCAGAACAGAAAATCAAGATGGTGCCGCAGAGGATAGAACCGGTTCAGTCACGTGTCCGGCCGAGTTACTACCTATTCGGCTGAATTGATAGGAACCCATCTCTGCTTTTTTGGTCTGCTAATTAAGGTTTGACTGGAAAAATACTAATTTCACTTGCCTTCTCCAAGTGGCAAGCATCAAAGTCTGTAAAGCAGAGGTGGATTCCTACTGGTTTGGCCCGGTTCGGCCGAGTAGGTAGTAACTCGGCCTGCCTTGCCCTTGAACCGGTTCTCTTGGAAGCACCGTAGGCATCGCCATACTGTTTTTTGCATACGTGCAGAAGCATTTCTTTTAGTACTGCGCATGTACACATCAAGTGCTTCTGCACAGCGCATCCCTGAGTGAACCAGCAGCAGCAGCAGCTGGAACCCCCCCCTCCTATAAAGCCATCTCTAGGAGCACCCTCCATTGCTGTAGATTTCATAGATTAAATGAAAGCAGTGATGTTTTGAACTCATCTCTAGAATTGTTTCCCATCCTAGATCTTCAGGTTAGTGTACGAAGATGAGGTACTTACATCATAATGAAGACCAAGGTTATGATAAGCTTCCATAAGTAGATAATTGGTGGCCTTGATAGCCTGGACTTTTTCTAGACGATTGTTGGATGTTATGTACTTTGTGAAATGCTGTGGAAGAAGGAAAAAAACCTATTCCAGAATAATTTAATCACATAAATGTCTTTCCGGAGGGGTAGCTGTGACATGAAACCCTGTCAGATAAATTTCCAAAAGAGGTACCCATCCTTCATTGCCCAGCTAAGTTTCAGTGACACATGCCAAGCCTGCTCCCTCATAGGTTTCCTGCCTCAGCAGAGGGCTGGACTAGAAGACCTCCAAGGTCCCTTCCAACTCTGTTATTCTGTTCTCTTCTGTTCCTACAGCATATAAAGCTGAAGTGAGGATAAGAAGCTGGTTGGTTCCTCCTTTCCTCTGTCTATTTAGGGGCTATTATTCACCCTCATCTTTTTTTAAATACTTACCCCCAGGATGTTATGGAGATGCTCTATTGTTGGTGCCTCAGCCAACAAGCCCTTAAGCATTGCTGCAAAAGCCATGGAAGCTTGTCTATATAGGGTCTGCAAGAAAATAGAGGAAATCATTGCTGTATTATAGTCTTATTCTCTAGAAATTGTACATCTGAGTTATGCGGGTGGTTGTTGTTCTTTTGAGTTAGTCTTGACTTCTGGCAATTGGTTAGACAAGTTGTTTGCCATTGCCTTTTTTCTGGGACCAAAAGAGTGTGACTGGCCCAAAGTTATCCAGGTGGCTTTATGCCTAAGGCAGGATTAGAACTCATGGTCTCCCACAGTGGTGGAATGATTATTTTTTTTTACTACCAGTTCTGTAGGCGTGGCTTGGTGGACACAGCAGGGGAAGGATACTGCAAAATCCCCATTTCCTCCCCACTCTGGGGCCAGCCAGAAATGGTATTTGCTGGTTCTCAGAACTACTCAAAATTTCTGCTACCAGTTCTCCAGAATCTGTCAGAACTTGCTGGATTTCACCCCTGGTCTCCCAGAATATTATCTTAAAGCCCTGTGCCAAACCAATTCCCAGGAATATGCTATAGAAAACTATATTGTTTTGCCTCATGAAATCCTATTTTGAAAAACGATTTATACCGTTAAGAATCATGTGGCAACAATAATGGAGTATGTATATTGGCTTCTTCACTTTCCCTGAAAGATGCAAAATTCCCTCCTAGTTCAAGATTAAATATAAAATTGTACTTTTAATCAGACAAGTATCATAGATCCGATAGGTTCACATTCTAATATATTCAATCTCAATAGAAATTTACCTTATCACAGATTTCTAGTTGCCGTTCAGGTCCATTTCCTATGAGACGTCTTAAAACAATATTCAGCAACCGTGTTTCCAGGTCTGGGGTTATGGGTGGCTGGATTTTGCTGGCAGGAGGTGTGAGATTCTCAGTTAACAAGATGCTGACCAGAGCTTGTAACTACATACATATACAGAAAGTCTGCTATTAGGAGGGACTCTGTGCTCCTGATGCTGCCAAAAGCCTAATTATCTGCTCATAAATCCACTACAAGACCATGGTCCTAGACAGTTCACATTCCTTCTTGTGAGGGAGCAGCTCTGTTGGAGTCAACATTATTCTGTTTACACATAGATATGCAGTATCATATTCTAATATTTTGCAATACGTGCAACTTTCTGTGTGTTCATCATAGAAAAGGGAATAGAAATCTTTATATGAATAAATGAACAGACTTGGTCCATTTTGGTGGGGGGAGGAGGTAAAGATGCTTGAGGCACTTTTTTTAAAACAGATTTTTATAAACAATAAGTTTGAGAATCCAGAATTTATCTTTAAATCCTTTGGAAGAACCAACAATATTCGATTTATTGCCGTCAATTGTTGAATTGTCAGGATTTATGGGTACTATGGTACCTCGTCATTGATCTGTTAGCTCTTTTTTTCCTTTTTGCTTATTTTTCTGAAAAGCAAAGCTTTCTCTCTGTCACCCAGAGAACTATTTTTAATCTTAAACCACATCGCTTTAATATTCTTTATAGACTTTGAAGATAAAACCCACCTTAAGTTAGCAACTGCATTCATACAATTTATCAGAAGAAAAAGAGCAAGAGAGTGGTTATAATGTTCCTCCAAGGTTTCCTAGGAGAAAATAACAGAGAACAGAAAATTAATTCTGTGCCTATTACAGGCATTGGCCCATGTTCCTACAGCTTCTTGAGGATATTCCAGCAGTTCCAAAATAGAAAGTACTAAAGATAAAGAGTCCACTCTAGATGTTCTTTTCTTTAGGAAGCTGCTAATCTCTTTCCAGACATTCCCCCCCCCTCACAGAAAATAATCTGCACTAAAATCTGTTTTCATACCAGTAGACGCAAAAATTAATGACCCAGTCCTTTTTCCCTTTTTAAAGAAATGATTTGATTAATGATTGTAATTAAAAATGCAAATATAAACTTAAAACATAGAATTAAAAAATAGAAAGAAAAAGGGGGAAGAAATCGAAAAGCAAAGAAAAAGAAAAAATAAAGAAATGACTCTCCTCTTTTCACAATAAATACAAACAAATTTGGTAACTTATTACTGTATCTTAAAATCACAGATGCTCTCTTTTTACTATAACTCACATCTTAACTATAAAGACTGGACTTTACAGCATATATTGAAGATAAAGCGTTTATAGAACATAGATGTGTAAAATGGAAAACAGTTTTATTATTGATACTCATTTCTGTACTAGTTTTTGTAAGCTTTCCTTCTGTAAAAGAAGTCTTCCCCCCATGCATGCACATCCCCACCCATACCAGCCACTGAAGGGAGAGTCAAAAATCAGATCAATTGTCCAAATTTTCATGCTTTTTAATTGGGTTTGGGTCAATCTGGTTATTGGTGATCAAAGAAAGCAAAACCTCTAACATGTAACCTGTAACAGCCCCTATTAGGCTACTGGGATCAATTAAAAATGTTCACCTATATCAGTGACTTTGCATATTGTTGGTATTTTCTGTTCCCTTTCTTCTCCCCCCCACCCCAAAGGAACAGAATAAAATGATGTTTCTGTACAGATCACCAATGTTTCCACGTAAAGTAAGCAGGCATACATTTCTGTGTGCATAAACTTTTATAGTTGATCAAATTTACAAAGTGCTGAGTAAGTGATACTCACAATTCTCATGTTGGTCACATCCCATGGCCACAAGATCATCACTTGTGACCTTCTTTACCGGTTTCCTATAAGCAAAGCCAATAGGGAAGCTGGCAGAAAGTAGCAAATGGCAAAAACATGATTTCCTTGCTTAAAAACCAGTAGTGATTTGCTTAACAATGGCAACAGGAAGTTATCTGACATTGTGCTTTATGACCACGGCAGCAACAGAAATTCTGATCCCAAGTTCTACTGTTACCAGAGGACTACCATTATATGACTGATATCATCATAGCTCTGATACTGTTGGTACAAATGATACAGAAGTATACACTTACCACAATTGTTTCCACTATTTTTCCTTTTTCTGCCAATGGGCCATAGACAGTATTCATGGCATTCAAAAAGTTGATAAATATATCAATGCCCTGGAAGTTACAAAAGTCAGAATGTTAGGGAGAGATATAAATATATAGTAGTGTTGCCATTTGAGCCATGATATCAGACACCTGTTGTGAATTAAGTAAATTATGTCAGTCTAGAAAGGAAGCAGATTATATAACTTGCATCACTTTACAAAGATATCATGACGTGTGATGTTAACGCACTACTTTGCCATTCCCCAGAATAGCCATCCTTTGGAAGATTTTTTTTTTAAAAAAAATATACCTTTTCTCCATTATTTATTTGAATATCAGGGGAATATGCTGGTGGAATATCTCCCCCGTTGTCCTGTTTGCTGGTGTGTTTTTCTTGATTATTTTTTCCTTCTTTCCGAAGTGGGGAAACCTTTGATGTCATTTTACGAAAGAAGGACCACACTTGTATCCTAGAACAATAGGGTAAAGGGATGAGCAACAGGAATTAATGCACTTTCATCTACAGTAAGGTAAAGGTTCCCCTTGCACATATGTGCTAGTCGTTCCCAGCTCTAGGGGGCGGTGCTCATCTCCGTTTCAAAGCCAAAGAGCCAGTGCTGTCCGAAGATTTCTCTGTAGTCATGTGGCCAGCATGACTCAACACTGAAGGCACACCGAATGCTGTTACCTTCCCACCAAAGGTGGTTCCTATTTTTCTACTTGCATTTTTTACGTGCTTTCGAACTGCTAGGTTGGCAGAAGCTGGGACAAGTAACAGGAGCTCACCCCGTTATACGGTGCTAGGGATTCTAATCGCTGAACTGTCGACCTTTCTGATCGACAAGCTCAGCATCTTAGCCACTGAGCCACTGCGTCCCCTACATACATACATACATACATACAT